ACCACACAACCCCCCCCCCCCCCCCTCCAATGTAGTCCTTTAACTCCACAACATCTTCCTCCAAGTCGATGATTCGGTCTTGCACCTTCAGCACTTTAGCTTTAGCTTGCGTTGAAGCGTCGCCGGACTCCAATCTTTTGGCAATAGAAAAATCTTTGTTATTTCATGCAAGTTCCCCGCAAGTAGTGACTAACTATGCTACGTCCTCTGAGAGGGACGTTTAATGGATAAGAGACGGTTCTGCTGACAACCATAATCACCACATTCATTTGGAGGATTACTCACAATGATCGGGTCGGCCAGTATTGAAATCTCCTCGTCAATCATCTTGCCACATCAACAAACTAATCTCAAGTTAGGAGGACGAGCATGATGTCCAACTCGAAGGTCTCCAAACCTTTAATCTCCATAAGCTTGCCCTGATCCAGCCTAAAGAGGAAAGGAAGAAATATCCTGTGAGCATAAATAAAAAACAACATGTCAACACCTCCATTTATAGAATTTTTTATCTATCGGTTCAGAAACACATATCACAAGAAAAATAAAATATACAGTAAAGGTAAAGAGCAAATACAAAGGTGAAACTGACCGAAAACCTTACTTTCATTCATGATTATCTAACATTTCTTTATTAGTATTCAAAAAGAAAAAAGGAGAAATTTTTCAAAGTACGGGAAAAGGCCAAGTACAAGGCACACATTCAACAACCCGCCATCGTCCTTCTCACTCTCTTCCTCCTCCGATTTCGACAACATGTGGCAATTTTCTCCATGTCGGTCCACTCGAGGCAGACCAATTACACCTTCATCATGTGGTCGACACCAAAGTAAATCCCCTCCTTGAGCTTCGCAAGAAGAAGTGCACCTGCGTCGGGTGGAAGAGCTTGGTAAAAAATTTATCAAACATCTTCATCATTTTCATCTTTTCCTTCATGACTCGGTTCTCTCCCTGAGTAGCCAATAGCAACTCTAACTATTTAGTATTTTGGCTTCAGTTGCCTTCACCCTTGCCTCAGCCGCTGCCAATTTCTGTGCAACCTCCGTTCGCCCTTCCCATTCCTGGAGAAGTACTGTTGATTGGAAGTGGAAAGCCTCCCAGGCCATCAGCTAGTACTTGTCAGTTATTCGACATAGAGCAAACAAGCTTTGCTCTAGGAGGGCCTCTTCGTATGTGGGAAACCAGATGATGTCGGCCAGCAATGAATGGTAGAGAGACATTGCTGGGGAATCAAAATACCAATCCTTCTTAAGGTCGATTAGCGTGAACCTATCATCTAAGCTGGTGCTTACCGTCGCCTCCTCATTCTGCATTGGAATCCACTTTAATGGGGATCCCTTTCCCTTCTTCAGAAAGGGAAAAAGGTGCAAGTTACTCAAATAGATCACAGGAGCTCTCCCCTCGCGATGCCTATCTTCGTGACTGTTGGGCTCGGGCTCCTCTTGAGCCAATTTTGTCGAGCCGACTAGAGAAGGGCAGCTCGCTTCATCCCTGGCAAAAAGGACAACCGTGAGGCGGCGGGTGTGCTTCTTGTCAATATACGGAGGTCTCCCTCTTGAGCCAACTCGACCTCGGTGAGCTACCCGTCTTATCAGCCTCTTGATGTTTGCAATTGACAAAGAACTCCTTGCAAGCACCAAAACTAATTTCCTCTCAATGAAAATTAGCTTGCAAATGAAAATCCTTTGAAAAATAATCAATGAATCGGACTTAGAAACAACAATTTCTGCACCTTCCAAATCTCCCCCAGCAAGCAGCACTTTGGGTTTCTGTCGACCAACCACTCCAGCCACCTCAGGGCGAGAGATTTCAACACGAGCAATCGCGCAAGCCTTCTTCTTCATCGGCCGACTAGCAACTGCTGCCTCCCTCTCGACCTCCTTAGCATCATAAGCCATCCAATCATCCTCGTTCACTCGACCCAAAGTCTCTAGCTATAGCACCCGGTTGACAGTTGTCGGATTGAGTATTGATGGACCTAAAGTTGATGCCCTACGACATCCTCAGACTACACCGATACTCTATCTGGCAATTCTTCGACTTCACCGAAGCAGGGTCAGCGAAACCCATAAAGAAATGGAGTTTCCAATCCTTCACTTTATTTTACAGCTCCAAGAGCTCAAACTTACCAACTGAGCCAAACTGATTGCGGTCATCTGGGTCGGCCTAAAATAAAAATAAGTAGCTAAATAGCTAAATCGACCTGGGGATCCTCGACCGATGACAAAACATGATGGACATCACAGCCACTATTGATTTGGGTAGTATATAAGCAGGGTCTCTATAATGATTGAAGATAGCTTGCAACTCTTGACAGAACGGCAACAGAGACCAAAGTGGAACTAATCCTTGTAGAAAGCACCATACAAGTGAATCGTCAGTCTCCCCAGGGCTCTGAGGCTGAATGGAGGGCTCGAAGACACAAGTTTCTTGCAATCGATTCACCTCCCCCAAAGTCATCCACAATCGATCGTCTGACACGACCGACCCGAAGGCCTTTGAAAAATACTTCAGAGCCATCAAGCAAACCATAAAGAAAGAAATTCGATGGAGCTAAGAGAAGAGAAGAGAAAAAGAAAGAGCAAAGCGTAACATTATCAAACCCCGCACCCTTATATATATGAAAATGAAAGAAATTGAACCGTCGCATAAGGGTAAAAATGTAATTCTACCATAATTTCAAGAAAATATTGACAGAATATCACATCAACACAAGAATAGAGATAGGAAAATAAACTTTATTCCAAAAATAGACATTACAGATTACGAGAACGCTTGGAAACTAGCCCAAAAGAAAATATTTTGTCGAGGAACACATTAGATGACCACACCAGATCCGCTAGTGCAACTATTTTTCTTTGCTTAAAAACTAAAAAGATGACCGAGGAGTAGAGGAAGAGTATTTTGGTCTCCATTTTTAAAAATAAAGGGGATTCACAAGAGTGCGCAAATTATAGAAGAATTAAGTTGATGTGTCATACTTTAAAGTTATGGGAGAGGGTAATTGAACATAAGTTAAGACGTAGTATACATATTTCCCGTAATTAGTTTGGATTTATGTCGAGCAGATCTATTATGGAAGCTATACATTTATTGAGAGATTTGATGGAGAAGTGGAAAGAGAATAAGGAGGATCTACATATGAATTTTTATTGATTTATAAAAAGCTAACAATAAGGTTCTAAGAGAAGTGTTTTGGAGAGTTCTAGAGAAGAAAGGTGTTGATATGACTTATATTCAAGTCATTAAAGATATATATACTAGAGTTGTTACTTATGCTCGAACAGAAGGATTGACCAAGTATTTTCCTATTTCAGTTGAATTACATCAGGGATCGACTTTAAGCCTATTTCTTTTTGCTTTAGTTATGGGTGTTGTTAGTGGACATTTATAGAAGGATCTACTGTTGTATGTTTTTTGTTAATAATATCCTTCTTGTAGAAAAAACTAGAGAAAGCGTCCAGGAAAAACTTGAATTATAGAGGTCTACATTGGAGTCTAAAAGCCTTCGTTTGAGTAGATCTAAAGCTGAATACATGGGATGTAATTTTAGTAGTAATAGTTATAGTGGTAGAGTTCTGACTATGGGTGATCAAATCATTAAAAGATGTGATCATTTTAGATATCCCAGGTCTATAGCTATAGTTCAAAGTGATGGTGATGGTGATATAGATGGGGATGTTATTAGTAGAACTCAAGTTGGTCGGTTGAAGTTGAGGAATACATTGAGCCTATTGCATGATAGAAAAGCACCACTCAGACTGAAAGGAAAATTTTATAAGATGGTGGTGAGATCTGCAAAATTCTATAGCGCATAATATCGGTCTTCAAAAGAGAAGTATAAAACAAAGTTAAGTATTGTTGAGATGAGAATGCTTAGGTGAATGAGTGACTTGACATTTAGAGACAAAATGTGAAATGAATATATCCGTGATAAGGTTGGTGCAGCTCCAGTGGCAAATAAAATTAGGGAGTCGTCTTAGATGGAGAAAAAATGGATGAGTGACTTGACACTTAGAGATAAAATGGAGAGTCGTCTTAGATGGCTCAGACACTTTAAATGTCGACCATCTGATGATCCTGTTAAGACAATACATGTTTTAGATTTGACTTATGTTAAGAAAGGCAGAGATAGATCTAAAAAGGCTTGGGCAAATTGCAAGAAAAATGATCTTAATCTATTAGAATAAAATGAAAACATGACACTCAATAGGAAGCAATGGAGAAAAATGCTTCATGTAGTCGACCCCACTTAGTAGGATAAAGGCTGCTTGTTGTTGTTGTTTCACCTTCCGAGCAGTATCCCTCTTTCAACCTCTCGAAGGCAACACGAAGCAGATCTTTGTGAGAGATATTAACTTGGGGATTTGACACGCTCTCCATCACAACACTTGGGAGCCTACCGATCCAAACAAGAGGGGTTGTAAGGCAAATAAAGAATAGGAAGAGTCTGTCATGTCTTATTATAAAGATCAATAGTGTGGAAACCAGATGAGTTCAATTACTGAATCATTAATTAATAATAAATGCGGTTTTTTTTCTGCATTAAATTGTTTTATTTGCAATAATTCAAACATCTAAATTCTACTAAACCAAATAGCCCTTAGGGCTTATTTGTTGCTTGAATTTAAAATCATGACTTGAAAAACAATGAAGTTCGTTGAATTCATCATCTAGTTAGATGATGGACATTAACATTGATTTGAAACTCCGCAAAACTTCTCAAAACGCCCTTAAAACTGAAGATTTCATTTTGACAATCAAAATAAGTGTGAACCAATTTATCATTTTTCTAATATCTACATATATGCACAAAATGAGACCTTAGCTAGATTAAAGATAGTAAGAAAGAAGCAATCAAAGGACATCATGCTAAAAAACATATCCACGTACCAAGGTCCCAAACTTGGAACTTTATATTATTATATTGAACTGTTTCCACGTTAAACCCAATCGCTGATCAGAAGGACAGATTAAAAAAACATAGTTAGTATACCGCAAGGCGAAAAGAGCAAGGAAATGAAGATGAAAATCAAAGACAATAGCCTACTTGGAATGGTGGAGACGACCTCCCCCATCTGAAGACGATCTGTCAAGGAAAAAGTGTTAATATCATAAATAAGGATAAGGGAGAAGGATAGAGGAGGAAAGAGTGGGTACAAAGTATTGTAGTTTTCCCGGCATTGTCGAGGCCGAGCACGAGGATCCGAGCCTCTCGGTTACCGAAGACTGAGGAGAGCATCCTAGTGAACAGGATGCCCATGGCCGCCCGTGAAGTATTAGATCCCACAGCTCGGATTGCGCGAGATGGCCACCAGATCCACAGAGCAGACTCCTGCTCTCGTACAACGATTACAAATCGACGAAAAGGGGGAGCTTGCAAGTCCTTGCTGCCTTTAGCTGACGAATTGATAGACGTCACAATTGGAGTTTAATATATCGGGCTCGGGGGTTGGGTTTAAACACATAGGGCACGATTGGAATTGGTTTTTGGGGTTAGACAAAAGACCATAGTTTGGGGTTAAACAATAAAATTAATTTAAGATAGTTTGATTTATATATTTTAAGTATTCAAGTTTAAGTTTGTTAGACTTCCTAATGTCAAATTATATAAAAGCCAAAATTTAGATTTGTGGATAAACACCAAGTGGTAAGAGATAACTAATTTTTTATATTGTTCTTAAGAAGTTAAGAAAAAAATTTCATATTAGAGCTCTTGGAGAATGATAAACGATGAAAACATAGATTGAAAGATGAAAACACAATTAAATGCAAGAGATTATAGTGAGGTTACTAAAATATATAAGTCCAAATTGAGATCAAATTCCTTAAAATATTATAATCAATAGATTGTAATGTCACAATGACTCTCTATAGAAGGAAGCTATGGAAATGATACATTGTTGAACTAATTTAAGGAAAAAAATTTAGGAAATGAAAGATGAGAAAGTTTTCTAATCTTTAAGGGCTTCATGCCAGAGGTAGACAAAAATGTCATTCTCTAGTCAGATTATATCTTAAATTGAAGGAATCATTTTTCAAAATAGTAGCAGCGGCATGTGCATGAAAAAAGATTCACGTGTCAGTTGGTAGCTTCGATATATCATGAATTTATCAAAAAGATTACAATATAATGAATATTATAATGCCCCAAAATAGGTTTCTAAGTGCAACAATTTAATGCTATTTATTTATTGAGATACTTGTGTATGTTAACATTTACAATTAAAATTACAAATATTAGCTAAAATTTATTTTTTTTATATATTCCACCCAACAGTCACCCCTTTATTTAGTAATCATATGAATACTTTGTGTCATTGAATAAAGAGTCCTTTTAATTTTTAGTATTTTCTTCTTGAGCTTCATGTCCAATCATGACTCAAAATTCTAACCTTGTTTAGATCTTTTTTTGGCTTTGGAGCAAGATTTAGAATAGTGAGGAAGAAGCACCATTCAAATGCAATAAAATGAAATAGTTATGATGTTAAGTTTGGTAAACAAAAAGGAGTTCTAATTCATATTGCAACATCGATAAAAGTTCATTATCAAGAGAAGGTTGTGAAACACAGGCAAGGGTTTGGGATAATGGCATGTCCAACATGATTATGTTATGGGTAAAAGGATAGGGCTCGATCATATGTAGGAATGCATGGCATAATTTAGGTGTCGAATCTAATTAGAATTGGTTATATTGGTGGATGTGAATAAATGGAAGAAGCGGTAAGGTTAAGGCACTTCAAATGAAGAAATTATTGTTGAAACTCTCTTCAAGGATGATGTTGCAAAGATTACCCTTAAAGTTGGCAATACACTACAAGTGATTGACAAAACACCAAACTCAAGGATTATAATTGAGATATAAGAATATTGGTGTGAGAGAAAGTGGCAATGATAATAAATTTACAAATATAGATCTCGACGGATATGAAGAATTATTATAAAATAGCAAGTCCTAGAGAAAGAAAACGTAGAACCAATTAAGTGGCCGATTGAAGGCATATTTTAGGAGATCAACACTGACAAAATATTAAATTAAAAAGTTGAGAATTTTAGCAAAGAAATGGCATAAATTTTAACATATAACTTTTAGGGTCTCTGATTTATACATGTATAAAAAGTCTTGTATAGCTCTATGTATTTGGGTATGGTATTATAAATCTCATTTACATATAAAAGTTTTAATTACTCTCAAATATAAATCTCCTATTAATATAGCAAGCTTGTTTTCAACATAATGCTTATAAATATAAGAAAATATATTTTTATAATCATGGTGAAGTGTATTTCTTTGAAATATTCTTAGCATCTATGGTGGCATAGAAATTAGTGATGGAGATTCAAGTTTCAAAAATAAATATGTATATATAGATAGATATAA